TATATATATATATATATATATATATTGTGTGTGTGTATATATATATATATATATATATTCATACATGCACGCGTATGAGTACATGTGTGTGAAGGCCATGTTAACAGACTGTAAGTCAACGAATGACTTTTGTAACGATAAAAGGAGAGTGAAATTTACTTACGATTTTCACCGGCTTCTCCGCGGCTCCTACAGAGCTTTTCCGTACAGTTATTTCACTTTCCACATTATTACATCCACGGTGAAAAAAAAAGGAACGGCGAGAAAGCGAGTTTGATCAAAAGCACAATTTTCGTGACGTCATCGGTGGCCGGGCATGCGCAAACAGATTTCGGTGTTTTTCCATTTACCGCGGAAACACGTGTGGCGATGTAGCTTTTTTCTTCGTTTTTTCTGTTTTTTTTTTTCGCTTCTTTTCTTCACCGCGAAAACTACATCGCTAAGAGGCACGCGACATTATCGCGACGATACGATATCGCCTGTTGCGAATTTCGTGTGCGATTATTCGCGAGAGCCACCACGATTGCCGACATCTATCCATCCACTCCCACTTGTTAAATGACGTGCACTGACGTCATCGATAGTTTACCTTGAAGCATGACATTGAGTTACATGCTTGCCAATAGTTCTCATAAATTTCCCTAAAATATGCGTTTATATAGGGATTACATATACATTTTATGAAAATTTATATTATTATTTGGACTATTAGTTTTAACTGCATGAAAATATATACTCAATAATTATGTTTTTTACATGTATTATTAATATTATTGTAAATTATCAAAACTATAACATATTATATTTATTAATAATATATGTGAAAAATGATAAAAATAAATATTAATAAAATCCATAAATCACTTTAAAAATTAAATTATTTTAAATCATTTCCATAAGTCATTAGTATTATAATCTATTAAGAAAGGACAAATAATATAATCGGAGAAGCAAATTCGCACGTTATTTATCACTATATGATATTATACCATGTAAATGCCTAACGCATGTAAATGCCTACGCAAGATATTTGAAATATAACTTTTACTTATAATTTTTAAAATTATTTAAATTATAACGAATGAAAATTCATTATATATTAATAAATTATTATTATTAATTATTTTAGTATAAAATTTTATTATATTTTAGTATAAAAAAGTATTTTGTGTAATTTTTGACACACACATATATATTATATATATATATATATATATATATATATATATATTCATGCAATATGTACATAAGATATATGTTAAATAGACATATAATAATAAAATATATATGATTATAAAAAAAATATTTCTTTCGTGTAAATAGTGATTTCTTTGATAAATCTTATACGTTTGTATTCTTTTATATTTTATTTTTTTTCTTTTTATATCTTACTTTATGTATCTCATTTTATCAAAAATTCATTAAACGAAGGAAGAATAATATTAAGCAACGCGAAAGAGACAAGCATCGATGTAACAAACGAACGCAATGAAACAGATGTGATCTGTGATTGGAACCATGAAATTTCAGGACAATGTTCATATAATTTCAATACAAATTCGTTGTAATAAGATTATATATGTTCTTAAATAATAAGTTATCTTTTCATTCATTACAAGTATAAAATTTTCATTTCAAAGATGCCTGTCGTGGACTGTAAGTACGTTGCAAATCATTGAAAAAAATTTGATATTTTTTAGATATATTTTTTTGATTCATTACAAAAATAAATATTTCATACTTGTCATTTATTTGTTATACATTTGATAACTGTATGTAAACACTGTACTGTTAAATTAAAAAAGAATATTTTTAAAAATATACATATTAAAATATATAATATATTAATTATTACATTCAATCTTATATTATATATTTTTAAAAACATAGAATTTATTATGAAAATAAAAATGTTAATTGTTAATTATTTTTAAAAATATTATTAAAATATTATTATAACTATTAATAGTATTAAAAAATTTTAATTCTTCATTATAAAATTGTAATACATATATGTATACGAGTTTCAAATAATTTTGAATAAAAATGTTCAAACATTAGTAAACTGCAAAAATATAAATATTCCTACAAAAATTGAAAATTTTCCAAATCAATTATTTTATATTTCAATTTTTGAAAGTTGTATTTCTGTTTTATAAGAATTATTTTGTAAAAAAAAAAATATTTTTTTTATGTGATGTAGTTTATAATATTTAAAAGATAATAGATTTTATATTGATTTAATTGATTTATTATTTGTTAAATTCTATATATTCTTTTTTATTTTCTTATTCTTATTTTTCGTTTTATGTAGAATAATTATATAGAAAATTATTAAGTAAATAATAACTGAAATGAATTAGAGAAATTTATTTTAATATATATGTATATATATGTATATAAATTTATAATTTCGAAATAAATAATTCTGCATACAAATAAAATTATATGACAAAAATGTTTATTTAAAATATCAATATGTTTTTTTATAAATATGTATCTATTATTTGAATAAAAAAATAATTATATAATTATATTGTGTAATATAATATTATATCACTAAATTCGATGTTAATTTATAATTTATAAGTTTATTAACATTTTATTAATTATAAAATTAAAAGCATAAAAATAGCTTATATTAATTAAATAAAATTGATACAGAGTAAGTAAATTTTTAATTAAAATTAAATTGCAAAATTAAAAAGATATAATTCATTTATTATTATTTTGAATTAGATTTGATCTACCAATAATGGATAATGCAAACAAAAAGCAAAATATTCATAATGATAAAGAGAAAGAAAAAGAGAATGAAAGAAAAAATCTGGATCAAGGAATTTCAAAAGAATCAGATTTAGATGTATTATATACAACTCGATTAGATTCTACAAGTCAGGAAGATGTTGAAAAAAAGATTCAGTGTCTGAAGCATTTATTGGAAAAGGATCTAAGAGCAGCTGATTTAAAATGGTCCTTATTTGTAGCAGCTTGCAATACATATCGTTACGATACTTGCTTAAAACCATTTCCATCAATGTATATAAAAAATGAATGCAAAGACATTGAAGCTCTGGTAATATTCTTAAAATATTTTATTATTTTTATTATTACTTTTAAAAATCTCATCATTTATATTATTTTTATATTAATGATTGAATAATTATTAATAATTATTAAATAATGAATTTTAATTATAGAGGAGAGCAATAGAAATAATTCCCCCATTGGCTGTAATATTTAAAGCATTATCAGAACAAGATGTATATGAAAGATATGGAACAGCTATAGATTTATTACATTGGGTTTTAGTACGTTTAAGAGACCCTTATATAAAAAGTATTAAAAAAGAAAGTGTAAGTTTCATTTTATATATATATATATAATAATAATTATATAATTTTATTAATTTTTTTTATTCATGCTTTACAATTAAATTTTGTAAAAATTTTAAAAATGTTTGAAATATAGTATGATTCAATATTGAGAAAAGTACCTTCAGAAATGTCAGTAGTTGCACCAAATTTAATATTCCAAGTTACAAGTACAAAACAATCCACTTCAGAAGACAGATGGAAAACAATTGCTGAAGGACATTCAACTTTTTATGCTTATCATGGTAGTCGATTAGAGAATTTTCATTCTATTGTACATTATGGTTTACAACAGAGTATGTGTAAGGTAAAATATTCTCCTTAAAATATATATAATTTATAAATATATAATTTTTAAATAATGTTTTAATAATAAATTATAATAATGTCTTTTAGAAGTCACTGTTTGGTAAAGGAATATATCTTTCAAGTGAATTAGGTGTAAGTTTACCGTACAGTCCAGTTGGCTATGGATGGGGAGGTAGTGTGCTAGGAAGTGAAATGAGTTGTATAGCTTTATGTGAACTAATTAATCATGCAGATGTAAAAATTGGAGATTCAGGTAAATTCATATTAAAATAAAATATTATTTATCATAATTTATATCATAATTAATATATTTTACAGAAAATAATGCTAGAAATTTAGTCACAGATTCCACAGGTGGAAGAGTTCCAAATAAATATTATTTGGTAACAAATAGTGAATTAATAAGAGTACGTTATCTTCTTATTTACAGTCAACAAATTCATGCCACAAGGTAAATACAATATTTATTATTTGCATATATTTTTAAATATATTAATATATTATATATATATATATATTATATATTATTTAATATAATTTATAATTTATAAAAAAATGATAAATAAATAAAATAATTTAATATTTTAGATGTACTGATAATAAGGGATTATTGGCATGGTTCAAGCAACATAAATTATTAACATTTGTGCTTGGCTATGTGGTACTATTGGCTTCAGTTGGTCTGACTCATAATAAACAAGTTGAAAAATATTATAAATTATTTGCTCAAAAAGTTGGACTGGAATAAAAAAACTTTTTATATGATGAGTTATCCATCTAATAATATAATACATTAAGATAAAAATTGTTTTTTTATATTTTTCATTGAATGAAATTTAACATAAAATTGCATTTATTGTAATAAATATACACAGTTTGTAAATAATACATATTATTTATATATAATATTATATTTTTATATAAAATTTAATATCTTGATAATATTATGGGGAAATTTTCTGTAACTAAATAATCATCTTCAAATATTACAATTAAATTCACTTCAAATTCTGTAACAAATAATTTATGAAATTTTTATTATCAAAATTCTTATAAAAATTACAAAAAAAAATTCATATGATATTCTTACCAACTTTAAAATTACTTGTACTTAATGTAGGACATGTAAATAATCTCGGAAATATCATATATATTGGTATAGGTAAATTTGTACAAACATTTCCTTCTCCAATTTGTATATTTTGTATTTCAGTAGCTGAAATAAATAGTATTGTAAGATAATTATTCAAATATTAATAATTTTTTATCTTACCATCTCTAGAATATCCTTCTGCACAACCACAGGTCTCTACTCTTACTAATTGTAATTCAATTGATTTTATTACAGCTTCACAATGTTCAATTATCACCTTGTATTTAAAAATAATATATTATATTATCTTATTAAGCAAAACAAAAATATTATAATATGATTACCTCTCCTGTTAAGGGTTCAGAAATTTTACAATATAATGAATCAAGTTTTCCAGAAATGCAAAATCTAGGTACATTTGTTCTATCTCTTGTGTTTTGCAAAGATTCTGGCATAATATTAAAACATACTGATTTAGTAGGTTCTTTTTGTATTTTGAGAGGTATTTTATCTTCTACTATGAATTCTAAAGATTTGTTTACGTCCTTTGCTAAAAAATTTCTTTTTATATCACAACGTATAAAATATTGAATATTTACAAAAACTCCATGATAAGTTTCATATAAAGATTTAGTTCCTCTTGGTTTTAATGGTAATTCAAATGGTATTTCTGTTCTACCACTTGGTATTTTTCCACTTGGAGCAACATCTAAAGTATATTGAACTAATTGTATTGGCTGAAAATAATTAATAAAATTAATTCTTAACTTATATAGTTTTATTTAATTAAACCATACTTAATATAATTTTTTTTAAATTGTTAGAAATTCTATAAATTAACCTTTACAGAATTGTAAAAAGCTTCAAAAATACCAAAATTTTTTGAACTAAGCTGTAAATTAACAGAACCTTCCATGCTTAAGAATATTCCATCATGTTTAACATCTGAATTAGTTTGTAGTAATATAAAACCAGCAACTATTTCCTAAAAACATAACCTTGATTTGAAAACATAACCATTTAAAATTATAATATTGTTATAAATAGTAGAAAGATATACTCCTTCGTGATATATTTTACTAGCTCTTTTTAATTTGATATCAATATTTATCGTCATTTTATAATTTATGATTATTAATTGATTGATAAATGTTTACGACTTTATGTATTTGTCAATAATGACGAAGATTATAATTTATATATAATTTATATATAATATTTAAGTCAATATATTTAATTAATTATAAAATTTACAATATTTATACATAAAAAAATATATAATATAAATGAAATTAATTGTATTAACATATAAATAAATCAGATATCATGGCAAAATATCAAGAGAAATATTTGTCAATTGTTTTAAAATAATATAAATATTTTTGTAGTTTTTAATAGTTTTAACTTTAATTTTTTTAATGTGAAATAAAAAATTATAAAAAAAAATGTAAATTAAACATTATTTCAAATTTATATAACAAATAATATATTATATATAATATACATATAAATACTATATATAAAATAAAATACATAAAATAAAATTAATTTTAGAATTTACGAAAAAATATAATAAATTTTATGAAATAACAAAATTTAATTCTATATTAATTCATTAAAAATAGAATATATTAAATAGAATAAAATAAATTAAAGAAGTATCTGAAATTTATCAATTCAAGAAAAAACTGAAGTATATTTGTAACACATTTGAATTACGTGACTATTTAATTGACCAATCAAATATCTCGAGTTTCGCGGTTTTTCTTCTTCTCTATATTAACATCCGCAAAAGGTGAACTTCCGTCCAATCGACTAAACAAATTCAAACCGACAGAGTCGTTACTGCGAGGTAAACGTTGTTTGGAAAACCGTGGAAGTAGCTTAATTGAAAGACGAATTTTTGGTGTTGCGTGAGATTCTTTTTTGACTAGAATAGCAATGGCTTTAAGAAATCGGACTGCACTTACGGTGAGATTTAAATTTTTTTAAGTGGACAATGTTGAATCATTAGTTGTGGAATGTTGATAGGGGAGGTCAATAGAACAGGGTAACCGTCTGTTCCTGACATCTTTAAATGCCCTTCATTTATTTTAAAAACTATTAAAATAACAATTATATTTATCTAAATTGCTATATTTTAATATATTAATATGAATTTTAATATTATTTATTTGATTATTTAGCATGTAAATTAAATTTATGTCTTTGAAAAATAATATTCATATTAACGTACATTTTGATCTTTAAAAGCGTGTTTTCTTTAATATTTCATACGCGGCATATTATGTGATTTCTCTTTTAACATATTATATGGTCTCATAGTAAAACAGATATTAAAAATTAGATATTAAATTATTTTTAATTTTTTATTTTAATTTAAATTACATTGTATTAATAGAAATTCGTTTTTAAATTTGAACGAAATTTCGTATTTTCTATAATTTATGGAATTTTAATATTATTTTATTTTTACGAAATTATATTTTATATCAATTATTTATTATAAATAATTAATTATTATTTAATATAATTATATATTTTATTACTATTAATTTTAAATCTTGAAATATATTAAATTATTATTATATATAAATATATATAAATATATTAATTATTATTATATATTATTTATATTCTTTTTTTTATTTTATTTTCTATGTTATTAATATAATATAAATTATATAATTATATGATAAAAATATAATATAAATATTAAAATAATTAATAGATTAAATTATTTTAATTTATTTAAAAGATATTTTTAATATGATGTTATGCTATTTATTAAAATAACTTTTATATAATTTTGTTATACTTTGCTTTTATTAAAAAATTACAATATAAATCAAAATAAATTTTCAGAATATTGTAAATCAAGAAAATGTTAAGAACCTTAAGTCCTCAGTGACTACAATACCTGGAAAGACTAAAAGAGCTGCTTTGGGTGAAATAGGTAACAAAGTGAATACCTTAAGAGGTGTGGAGCCCATTGATAGAACTAGCTTGCTGACAAAAGATAATAAAAAAATCACAGTTTCAAAACAAACTATTAAAACATCAGAAAAAGGAATTGAGAAACTACCTATCCAAATAGTTAAACCTGTAAAAAAGGTTACAGTTTCTTATGAAAATAATGTGGTGTCACTACCTCCTAAGGAGGTTCAGTCATTCTCCTCAGATCTGTTAGCAGTTGAGGATATTGATGAAGAAGATAAAGGAATCCTAGTCTAGTTTCTATTTATAGTAATGACATTTATGGATATTTAAGAACCTTAGAAAATATGTTTCCTATCTCAAAAGGATATTTAGATGGACAAGAAGTTACACCAAAAATGAGAAGTGTACTTATAGATTGGTTAGTAGAAGTACATCAACAATTCCATCTAATGCAAGAGACATTATATCTGACTGTTGCTACTATTGATAGATTTTTACAGGTTTGTTGTTACATACATAGATAAAATATTTATGTTTCTAATATATGATTAATTATTCTCTTCAAAAATAATTTTAATTTTCTCCAACAGGCTTTTCGTTCAATAGATAGAAAAAGATTACAATTAGTTGGTGTGACAGCTATGTTTATAGCTAGCAAGTACGAAGAGATGTATTCTCCAGATGTAAATGACTTTGTATATATCACAGATAATGCATACTCAAGGATAGAAATATTACAAATGGAAATGCTTATTGTGAAAACATTAGATTATTCTTTTGGTAGACCATTACCCTTACATTTTTTGAGAAGATACAGCAAAGCTGGAAAGGTATAATTCATAAATTTACTTCTCAAATTTATTATATATTTTTTTATAATAAACGATTTATTTTTAAGGCTCTTCCAATACATCATACAATGGCCAAATATTTTCTAGAACAAAGTTTAGTGCATTATGAAATGTGTCATTATCCACCAAGTCTTATTGCAGCTGCAGCAATATATTTAGCTTTCCTGTAAGTTACTTTTTAAGAATTATTTTAAAAAATTAATGTTATTGTTTTCTTGAATAATATATGAGGTGATGAATAATAATATATGAGATATCTTGATAAGATAATCTAAAAATAATGTTAATTACACAGTTTTATATACATATAATCATTTTGATATTGAACATTTAATATCATGAATGAAGAAATTTCTAGATTGATGATCAATCTTTCTCTTATCTCTCAATCTTTGGGTATTTTAGTAAAAGAATCATAGAACATAGCTAAGCAATTGATTAAATAAATAAATTTCATATATTGTATGAAATAATTATTGACATAATTTACTAATAATTTATTTTTATATTTATTCATATAGAATTATTGATAATAATGACGAGGACGAGCATAAAATTGTTTGGACCAATACCTTGGCACATTATAGCACTTATTCTAAGGACGACGTGTTTCCCGTGGTACGGGAAACAGCGAGTATTATAGTTAATGCGGATAAGATCAAATATCAAGCTGTAAGAAAGAAGTACGCCCAATCGAAATGCATGAAGATCAGCACACGACCGGAACTTAAATCAGCAACGATATTTGCTATATCCACTGCGGATAATAAAGCAATATAATATTCAATTTATAAAATAATTACAGTGAAACATTGGTTTGTTCAATATTTCATTGGACAAAATAAATACACATATAGGATAATACATCTTTAAAAGGAGAAATACATGAAATGAGTAGACGAAATAAAAAGAACGAGACTATCTTCATTCGTCGTTTTTCTTATATATATATAACCATTTTCATTTTATAAATATCATATAATTAAATCTTTATTTCGTTGGCTATTTTAATTAACATTAAAATTATTTTTAACTAATAACTTTCATTCCAAAATATTGGAGAATTAAAAAAAAACATACCATTATTAATAATGTATGTAAAAATATTTATTATAAAAAAAACAATTGATGATTTTATCTAAAAAATACGTAATAAAAAATATGTAGTTAGAAGAAAAAATATTTAAATTGGTAAGAAAATTTTCGATTATCTATGAAATTCGAAGTTTGTGATAGTCTCGTTTAAAATCAAGATATTTGCCTCAAGCATATAAGTTCTATTAAAAATGGGACATTTTAATTCTGAATATTACAGGATTGTATGAAAATCGTAAAAAAGAAAGAAAAACTTTAATAAGTAATTTCGTATAATTAACTCGAATATTCTTTACTGACGAGTATATTGCATTGTTTTAAATTATATCTGATTTATTAAAACCAAATATTTAATGCAGAAATTATTTATTAAAGATTTTTTTATCTTTTTACGTAATTAGTAATTTAGAGTAATTATATAGAAAGTTTTTTTTAGTATAGAAATGAAAAAGATGGAAGCATGAGAGTATAGTCAATTGATATGGATGAATATATATATATATCTTTTGGATTATTATAGAGGAAAACTATCGAACAACGTTTGCCGAAAGATCTCTGTTTAAATTCAGTAAAATTTCGGCAAAATGATGAAAGATATAAAATATTAAAGTCTAAAGAATTTATTATTATTATGATTTCTGGTCATATTTATTATATTCATTTTAGTACTCTATTTTAATACTATATTTGACTATAAAATTTAATCACAGAGATTATAAAACTTAATCAAATATAAGAAATAAAATAATAATAATAATTATTTTACATCACATCTAATATATAATATATTATGCTTTAATCATTAATAAAAGAATATCATTAAATACTTTATAAATTAAAAATTTTATTACAAAACAAACTATAATAATCTATAATGAACTAATTTTTAAACATTTTTCAAGATATTCATTGAGCATTTTGCCGAATTTTTATCTAATTTGAAACAAGATTTTTAGGTATTTAAATTGTAAATCATATCTTTTATACCTGGAATATTGATGAAATTTTAACTTTTATTCATAATTATAAAAACATTTTTATTTTGATATTAATTCTATAGATAATTTTAAATGTTAATGTATAAAAATACCCGAGTATTCCAGACAATATTAATAATCTATACTTTGATATCAATATTTTCACAAATATTATATCGATGAACGTGGCTGTTCATATTTGGCGTTTTGCCAAACTATTTGTGCGTTTAGAACGTAAATCTTGTATAAAATTTATGTAAAGAAAATTTCAGTAGAAAATAAACTGTAATAATGTTTTTTCAGGGTATCATATATCACTTATATAAATTTAAATATTATATTATAATATGTATATTTAAAGTCTTATATCGAGATATTTGTTTTGTAATACAAATCGATAAATTAGTATAAGGCTGCGAGTTAGTCTCGCAAAACTTTGTTATAAACTTCAATAATTATTGTAACATATTTTATTTCATATATACTTGTAGAAAAATTATCTTTAACAATGCATAACTTAGAGATTTATTAAATAAATGAAAAAATAAATGGATATAAATGTATTTCCTTAAAAATAGGAAAATTGTAAAATTATAAAATATAATCTACAATTTTATTTTTTGAAAATGTTTATTATAATTAATATTAAAATATATTCAATTTCCAAGGCGAAGAATTAGATTCTGGTGGACGTATAACATAAGATTCTGAAAATTTGAATAATAATTGAAATAAAAGTTTTCTAAATAATTAAAAAGGATAACTTACCAATCAGTTTTTGGTAAACACTTAATCCTTGTGAATCCGTAGACATCATAAATTCTGCATTTTCCTGAAGTGTAACAAATATAAAAAAAATATAATTAATTAATTCAGTTATAAATATGTTTTAATATATACCATTTCTATTAGACTTGAAGGTGCAGATTTGTTCCAAATTTCAGATTTACTTTTTTCTATAATTAAAAGTAATTCTTCCATACAATGTTGTATTTTTTCAGCATATTCATCATCACCAAAGTAAACAAGTATTTGTATTAATGCGTATATATCATCTAAAATTAAAAACATCGTCATGTAACTTTTGTACGATACTTAAATTCTAATTGATCATTACAAATAGATGTACAAACTCTGTTCTTTGTATATATTGCTAATAATTTGATACAAAGTTTGTATCAATGCTAGGTCTTCAAATATACTACCCTCTTTTAAACTTAATAGTTTTCTTTCCTGTTTTCTACGATTTTTACTCGATCTATAGCTTTTTCTAAAAATAATAGATAGGTAATATATGTTTAGTTAAAAAAAATTTGAATTATTAATAATAATAAATATATATATTTAGTTTTTAATATTTTTTAAATATAGAAAAATTTTCATAAAGAAAAATTTAATTATTTTTACCCAGATAAAGTAGATAATTTCGATCTTTGACTTAAAGTTGAACAAGCAATACTACTTGTATCACTAAGAATATCTGAAATGCCTTTAACACATATCAATTCATCGTCACAAATTATTTCATTATATGATTTTAAATTCTTTTGAGAAATATTGTTTCTGACTATTATAAGTCGCGATTTATGTCGTTGAAAATCTTGTTTATTTTTTTCTATTTGAAACATTGTATGATCTGCATATTCGTATACATTGGATTTTATACGAGATTCTAAAATATAATAATTTTAACACACAACGTTATTTATGTATTATTTTTAAAAGTGTAAACTTACCAATTAAATCTAAATTTTTGGTATCATATACATATTTTATAGCATCTTTCCATTTTTTACCATTACACAAAGAATCTACAGCTTCTTCTGTGTTTTTCAAATAATTCATTAAAATATGTGCAGCTTCCTCATATTTCTTATTATTTTTTAGATTTTCTGTGAGATCTTTATAAAGCACATGTTTTTCCATATCACTAAAATATAATTTAATATTAAATATTTATTTATAAATTTATAATAATTTATTATTTTCTCTTTTTTATAAGTATGTAAAATTTCTATTAACCTTAGCTTTATTTGAGTAGATAGAATAATAACATCTTGCCAGTTACCACATAGTTTATAAGCATTTAAAGCTTCTTTCAAATTACCACTTCTATGAAACATGATTCCAGCTTCTTGATAGTGTTGTTTCTTTAAGAAAAATTCTCCATAAATTTTGGCTATTTCTTTATATTCTTCACTCTTTTTGTCAAATAATTTTAAAGCTTTTATATATAAATTGTAATTACGTATTAAATTTAAACATTCGTTAAATCTGTTTGATTCTTTTGCAATATGTTCAAGAGCAGATTCATAACGTTTCAGATGTAAATCAATAGAATATTTCATATAATTCTCATCAAGTTTTTTCAAGTTATTTAAAAATGGAATATATTCTTTAGGATCTTTTTGTGATTTAGAAGCAACGAACATGGTCAAATCAAAATCATACATTCCTAAAGCTATATCAAATAAAACATTTACATCTACTATATACAATAAATATTTCAATGCTTCATCAGAATTTATATGTTTTTCATTTTTTGTTACTTTTTCTTCTAACTTTTGAATTTCTTTTATCTTTAATAATGCAGCTTCCATGCCTTGTTTTTTTTTATCTTTTACTAAACTGATTAATATTGGTTGAATTAACTGATTACCGTTGTTTCTTTCTTCCATAATATTTCTTATTAAATTACAAATCATTTCGATTTTATTTATCTCACAATTTGATTTCAATCGATATTTTCGATAATAATTTGCATATATTGTTGTAGTAACATCTTCATTTGCTAATTCAGACAAAAATAAGCTTAACCAATTTGCTTTAGAAATTTGTTCAACAAATTGTTTTGCATTTTCGATAAATTTTTGTGGATTATGATCGTAAATCAAATTTAAATTTATTCTTTGTTTTCGCATTAAATTAAATGCAGATAAAAAATCACAATTGTCTAAATAAAATCCAATAATATATAAAGATAATGCTCTTGGTTGTATGCATTCTAAATTTCCACGAGGCATTTGTAAAATAGTTTTTGAATCTTTTGGAATAGCAGCAATTAACTGAGATCCTCTTTCTAATCTTCTAATATTTAAACCTGAAAATATTAATTGTAAACTTAATTATAATATTAATATTAATTTAAGAATTAATTATAAATCATTACTATACTTGAAAACGATTTTTCATTAAGATGATTTTCCCATGGCTTTATGGTTAAATCCTGCTTTATTAATTCTTCAAAACCATTCTCGTTTAAATTAATACATATTAAAGTATTTTGTGTAGTTGTGAGTAATAAAAATTCTGAATGAACAAAAAAACTTGTGATATTATTAGCAATTTGTTCTCCATTAATTGCAAAGCAATTTCTATGATATAATGATAATATTGCAAATTTTGTATCAGTTTTCACAATTTCTACTTTATATGTATATTCTTGCAATTGTACATTGATTGGAATTAATTCAGTTTCTTTTGTATATTTTACAATAGAATTCTCTACAATTATATATGCTTCTTTTGAATCAGGAGAAGGAACTATATGTTGAATTAAACCATTCATTATATGTATTTGTCTGTAAATATTAAAAAAAACTGTTAATTTTAATTAAAATTTAATTATTCTATTTTTTAAATTAAATGAAATTGCTTGCATGAATATACCTTAATATTACTTGTCCTTGAATTGGATCTTTTATTGCATCTAATATTAAAACACAAAGAAAACTTTGATCATTCATTGACAACGAACATAAAATACTAGTTTCATTAAGCCATAAAAAGTGATGCATGTTATAGAAAGAATTTTCACATTCTAATGAAACATTCCATTTAATGTCATATGTTCCTATATGTTCATATTCTAATAAGAATGAATTCTAAATAAATCAATTTTTTAAATATATTAGTAAATATATTAATAATATAATATTAGAAATATATAATTTAATAATAATATTATTAAAAAATATATAATTCTATTTTATGTAATTATAAGTAATTTATAATTTATTTATAATTACCATTAAATGTTTGTAAAATATTAATTTCTTACTGGCAGAAACACAAAAAAATGTGTTACTATCTATCCAAGTAGTTTTGCTTTTTATATCTGGTGCAAAAACAAGAGCATTTATGAATTCATCAGTTTCTAAAGTTTTGTGTGCCATTGGTGGTGGCACAATTCCTATTCTAAGACCAGTCATTAATGATTTATTTCCATCAATAACACCAATGACAGATTTATCGTGTATAGTTGTGCCTCTACTATGATCAACAGACCAATTATAATCACAAGTAATAAGTTCTTTACATGTTAAAAAAATCAATTTTTTAGAACAAGATGTAACACTCCATGTTACACATATTAATGAATTATTCATAGGAAAATTAATAGATTGTTTCAAGTACCAATGATAATTATTTTCTATCCATAATTGTAAAACTGAAGAAGAATCTTTTTGAATTTGATACCAAATAGTCAAAATTTCTGAATCTGGTGACCAAAATAAATCTTTTACCTGTAACATAAATTCTAAATTAATAAAATTATTTGAATTTATTAAAATGTGTATTTGTAATAATGATTACAAATTGACATACTTTAATTTCTTTTGGTTTAAATGGAAGTGAAAATTCTCTATGTTTTAAACCATTTTTCTCAAAGAATGCAATAATGTGTTTATTTTGTGATATCTGTGTTGATGCAATTAAACTACCAGATGGTTTCCATGACAATGATTCTTCTAAACCATTAACAAATTCACTGGTATATTGTAAAATACCTTCTCTATTAAATACTTTAAATTGTCTAATTTTATTTTTATGGTGTAAAAAACCAACAGCAAATAATGAACCATCTTCACGCCAAGTGATTCTACACATTCCATCATCCAGACTATTTTCATTAATTTCTGTTATTTTAACAATTGCTGCATTTTTTCCTTCAGATCCATGAAATTGAGTTTCCTTCTTACCCCAACCAACAGTTACAAATTGTTTATGACCAAAATATTGTGCATGTAAATCTATCTTTGATATTATTTGAAAGGTAGATACCATTGTAATCATAATATCATTAGTTGTAATCAATATAATTATTTCATGATCAGGACTTAGTTTCATGCATTGCAAATTTATATCTAAATGAATTATCGATTCATATTTAAATTCGGATTCTATATTTATTTTTATAATATTACCGGATTTACAAGCACCGTATAATACTTGCGATATGCTACAATATTCCAAACTGACGAAGTCTAAATCTTCATCAAAAGTAAAAGAACTTATGTCTTCTATATGATTTGATGGAATTTTATATAACTTATTTTTTAAAAGTATATAAAAATCATCGTTATTTGAATTAAAAGTATATAATACTTTTACATCATTCAAATTTGAAATTTGATTTTCTAATATATTTAAAGCGCGACTAGCACGTTGTGTCACTACTAAATTTCTCATTATTTAATTATGTACAATATATAACATATAAATAAAACATGTAAAAGTATACGAACTTTTCTTTATGGTTTATTGGAAGTAATATATATAAAAACATATACTTTCAAAACTAACCTATACACAATTATATACTAGAGATTTAGAGTTCTAATAATAATAGGGTTAGTTTTCTAAACTTTAAATAGAATAAATTAATATTATATATAATAATAATATAGAAAATTAGAAATTGTTTGAGAATAAAAATGAAGTTGTTTAAATTAAATATGCAACAACGAAAAAATAATAAAATAATATGTGAAAAATGTTTTTTCAATTTAAAACGTATTGATTAAAACTTATAATGCGTATTTTAATAATGAAACTTTATGTCTTATTACAATTGGATTTTTATTTTTATTTAAATATTAATTCATTATTATTATAAATATTATCATGAATTCTAATAATATTAATATTGAAGATGAAGACGTTATCATAAAGGTATTAAAAATTTATAATAAACTTGATCAATAATCAATATTATTATTTAATATTTTATTTTGTATTGTTATTTAGAATTCACCTCTATATAAACATTTATACGAATTAGGTTATACCGATTTTGAAAGTGTAACAATAGAAAAATTAACATTAAAAAAATGAAAAAAAAAAGTTTCAAACTATTTGTAAGTTCTTTTTAATAAAATAATAATTAATGTATAATGTATATTACAAATAATATATATTAAAAAAAAATTTTGCCAATTTTTAGGATTTTATATTCAATGTAAAAAATATTTTTAAAAAGTTATATATCATGTATTTGAAAATAATTCAGGTAAGATTATTAATTATTAATGTGCATAACATAATTTATTATACAAATATTACAACATATATATTTATATATTATTATAATATTATTTATATAAAATTTAATTTATTTTAGGATGATAGTATATCAAAAAAACAAATGGAAGCTATTTTAAATACAAAAATTCTTTTAAATGATCATGGTTGTGCAATATATAATTTTTTTGAAAAATATGATTGTAAACCATGGAGGTAATTATTATAAATTATATAAAATAATTATTATAAAATTATTTAACTAGCAAGCAAAATTTGTTGCTAATTTATTTATAAAAATTAAAATAATAATCATATTAATTTTTTACAGAATTATAATATCTAAATTTATTTTATTTGGCACAATTTTATCATCTTCATTATACATATCTTGTTATACTCAATATAGAACTTCAGCTAGTTTATTTACATTAGCTATATTATATCATATTAGTTATATGGAATTTTTAAGAATAAGGATACATATGGACTTAAAATCAGTTGTATCTTTACAAAATGATTTCTTTGATGTTTGTAAAAAAGGAATGAAAATTTTAAAATATGGATATAAAATAAAATTAAATAAAAGGAAAAGTTCTCAACAGTTTTTGTAAGCTTTCAAACTTTATTAAATTATGTAATTTATATAATATTATTTTTAATAATAATATTAATATTCAATTCAACAGTGATCTTACAGCAGCTAGATTAAAATATTTACCACCTATAATGGAAAATTTAATAAAATATTTGGGAGATATTTCTTGCATTTATTATCATGTTTCCTTAATTCTCATAAGACTATTACCAGAAAATTTTTATAATGAAGATTTATTAACAAGATTTGAAAATGGATCATTTGAAATACATGGTGAAATAAATTATCAAAAATTAAAGGTTAAATTAAAATATTTTTAATAATTATATTCTAATTAATTTTTATATAAATATTTTTTAAATTATATTAAAAATTTATATTTTCATAATTATATTATTTTTTTAATAGACTCTATATCATACTTATATTCTCACTCAATCTGAGATGTTACATTTGTTAGCTATCGCGTATGATAATCATATTTGGCGGCAATCATATAAAAAAATTCCTGAATTAAAATTGGCTTATATTATTCGTTTTTTAAATATTTCTTTAATTATGTATAAAAAAAATTATCAGAACATATTGATGCTTATTATAGTTTTAAATTGGAACCATATAAATACAAGTAAGAAAATTTCTTTAAAATATTTTTATCTAAGAATAACATTTATATGTAATAATATTATTTATATGTTTTCATTATTTTAGAAGTCCAGATTCATCGCAATGGCAAGATTTATATATGCATTTGTATTTAGCTTCTAATAAATTACAATTGGCTTATAGTTATGTATTATCAATACTCCAAGATATTGATAATGATGTAATTGAAAATGTAACGAACGAAGATTATATGGAAAAAACAATGCAAAAATTAACTGCAGCTCAAACAAGTATTGAAACTGCAAAAGATTTTATTGAATTTAGCAATTTATTTTTGGTAAAATTGCAAAATAATGATATTACAGTTAACCATTTAAAAACAATATTCCAGTATCGGTTGCAAATTCCAATATCCATATTCGATCCATAATTGATTCAGAACCGGAAATTCTAGATGAAGTATTTGAAGAATATATTAAAGAAGAATATTTAAAACCTTTAAATGAAGAAACTGATGAAATATCATTGTATAATTACAAACGAGATAAAGCATTATTTAAGAATTTCATGTCTGAATTAAAAGATGCTTTAGTTGATAAAAAAAATCTATGTCTGAAAGAGAATCAAAAGCGCTTCAACGAATGTATAAAATAAAGGAAAATACTTTCGAAAACGATTATATTCCGCAAATACTTACATCTCAATCGATATCTTCATATAATACTTTTTCTTTGATACATGATGATAATAAAAATTTTGATTGTGCACAAAAACAACAATTAAACGAATTGTTTGAAAAACCTAATATTACGAAATCGAATAATAAAAGTAAAGAAAATTTAAATGAAAAAAACATAAATATTTTAATGGAAGAAAAGTTACCTTTACCGAGAAATATAGAAATTTCGTCTTCTTTATCATCATTTTTAAAAGTGGAAGAAGAAACTTTTATAGGTAGTGGCGAAAATTCTGAAGATGATGAAGAAATCAAAATAACATCTAAATAATATAGAATACATATTTATTATATTCTATATTATATATAATATAGAATATTATTATTATATATATATTTATATATACTTAATTATAACTTAATTATTTTCATTTGAATAATAACAAAATAAATAATGACATTTAATAATATATGTTATGAAGATATTTATTTACAAATTCAGAACAAATAATATATTTTTACGGTTTTCATTAAAATAAAGCTATATTTGTATAATTTATGTTATGTATAATACTATTGATAATAACAATGATTAATATATATTGTACTAATATCAACATAAAATTTTAATTTTAAAAAATTTATTTGTATCATATAATTATAAAAAATGCTAATGTATTACTAAAACTATGAATAAATTATCGCATAAATATAATTCGCGATTTTAGATTGTTACAATTATAATTAAGAATTATTAACTTGTTATATAAATTATTACAATATATATTCAAAATTAATAGTAAATATTATATATGATAAAACAAATACTGATGAAGTATTGGTAAAAATTTTTATATGCAAGATATACACAAAATTTTTTAAAGATTTATTTAATACAATTATAATATATGATTAATCGTGTATAATTTACTTTTTTAACATGAAGATATTTTTCTTTTTTTTTATTTTTCTATTTGCATATAAGAAATTAATCTGAGTGTTTTTAATATTCAAAAAATCTGAAATCACATTTTTATTAATTAAACTATTTTATATGACTTTTATCTTTAACATTAATTTATGAATTATTTTTCACATATGATTTAGAATTTGGCAGTGACAAATGACAAATAAAAAGAAAAATAATATTAATTTATAAATTTCGTGATACAGAGATCGAAGTACATAATTATTATATAATAATTAAGTATTTAAAAATAAGAAGAGAAGACATGTATATCGATATATCACAAATCCTTCAGCCAGGAAAAGTTTTGGTCTAGTATTTTTTTTGTGGTGTAATAATATCAATTTAATACTAGACTAAATCCAGGACTAGAAGTATTTGTCATAAATTATGAAAAAATTCGCACATATTTGCGCACATAAAATTGTTTTTGAATTGCGAATAAAAAATATCATATAATCACAAATAATAATTAAATATCATATAATCATGAATTAAATATAATAGCCATTAAAAAAATATATGATTAAAAACTTTAATAATTTTTACAAATTTGGTGTTTTTGATAAATGAAAATTAAAATGTAAAATTACTGAACTATACTGTTTATTTTATAAGATATCTAATATCTATAATTTTCTCTTCTTTGTCTCTTTATTATATATATAAAGAAATGCACAATTATATGTGTGTCATATTAAAGCAGAAGGTATATGAATATATTTCTTTTTTATGTACTCTTTTTCATAAAATTCAACTAAAGTTTTTTATATATTTATTGTTCCTTCATAGGAGGAACAAAATCAAATGAACGAATTTTGCTATACAATATATCATGCTATTGTAATTAATTGATTGATAGCGCTATAATGCCAACCATGGATGATGACGAATTGCTTCGCGACTTCGATCTCCATAGTCATATGTTACTTCTACCCCGATAGGTATATTTTCTTTTGCCGTAAGTACCAGATGAGGTGTCGATTCTACTTCTATGACTCGTGCAATTAAATTACCATTTCTTGAATGATTTACTAATCTACCTAACTTATTAGTTTCTGCTGTTGCATCAACGCTAAAAATGTGATATTATAAATAACTAATAATTTATAATAATTCTAGAAAAAATAATTTAGAAAATACCAACCAATACTGATGATTACGATGTTGAAAATAATACATATAACATCCAGTATTTTGGTCTAGTGCATATATTTTTTCACGTTTTTTTTGCTGTTACTTGATCAATTAGTTCACCAATATATTCTACTACAAATTCTCCTTTCATAAATTCTCGCGTTGTTATTATTCCACGACCTTTACCAGCAAAATGTCTTACCTAACAAAGAACATTTTATGGAATAACAAAACTACAATATTTTCTTTTTATGAATTTATCTTACTTCTAAACCTTCCTCTACTTGACACAGCACTTTGTTTTCCATATCACGTTGTTTTTCTTCTAACACAGCTTTCTTAGATTTTCTGACACTACGACGTACTGGAAAGTAGTCAGTAAGTTTGTGATTTGTACTTTTGATATTTGTAGAATCTGATGCATAAATTGCACTAGAATGATTATTGTTTAATTTTCTACGGCCACGATTAGGAGGTTTTTTTGAAATTTGTTGTTCTAAATGAAGTGTTGGAGCTAGAGATTTTTTAGGCTTATTGTCATTTGTATTTCTTTCATCTAAGTCTTCACATTGATCATTTGGCATATTAATTCTGTGTGGTGTTGATGGACCATGTATAGGTACTGCTACAGGTGTTTCTGAAACATTGTTATTTAAATATTAATATATAAATATATATTGCTTAAATACATAGAATATAATAATTAATAAGATTTTACCATCTGTTCTGAAATGACCAACATCAGTAAGAATATCATTTTGTATTGTGTTGATTTCTTCACTTCTATAAAACCTTTCTTCAATAGGTACTATAGAAGTTTTTTTATTTTTAGAAATCTCTGTAATCTATATTTCAAAACCATAATTTTAATAAAAAAAAAATATTTTTGCATATAATATATAAAAGTACATAATATAAAATAAATTAAAAAAATATGATTTAAATATACATAGTAATTTTTATATATAATAAAAATTTATATATATACATTATATAAATTTATATCAATATAATTTTCACAATATTTAAAATAAATTACATACTTGTGTATAGAAAAAGGAACTTATGCATATAGGTGATTTATGTGTTGAATGAATTTCATCTGAATTAACTTTTTTTACATTTTTAGTATTATCTAGTTTGGTTTCCTTTTTCATTGGTGATTGATTTATGTCGTTTTGAGTAGATAAAACATTAACTTTTGTACGACCTGTGTTTTTTGTTTGTACACGTTTTCGCCGTCCTATAATTAAATTAAGATATGTATAAAATTCATAAATTTTCAGAATATAATAATATTAAATATTATAATATATAAAAGATATATATAATGTTAACAATATTTTTCTTTTGTTACATATATTGAATTTTAAAATTATATATATTATATCACTAATGAAGTTTTATATCTAATTATTATATTTAAAAAAAATATATACAATTATATATATATCTACAAATGTTATGCTGCCATAATACATGCGCGTATCAATGTATCTATGATTTCTGAAGCTTCGTAAAATTATTATTGCAATAAAAATTATATTATATTGTATATTTTAATCTTATAATTAAAAACAATTAATTATAATAAATATTATGAATAAACTATAAATATAAATATAAAATATTCATAAAAAAAATTTAGTTTAATTTATAAATATATTTTCGAATATATCGTTGAATGATTAAAAATGCATTTTGATATGTATGAATAAAAATTTAAAACAAATTAAATATGAATTAAATAAAATTTTGAGAAATTAGCATTTATAAGATAACATTCAAAATGGAGAGAGAAGTGAAATCTATCAAAACATAACCTGAATATTGAAACAAAATCTTCAGTGAAAGTGTACATGAATTTTTTTAGAATCATATTCCTACCTTTCACCATATTATCCCTTGATTTTTTCATATAATGAACAAATACTGAATTTATTTTTCTCATACAAAATTCTAGTTACGCGATACGGGCATTTCGATTTACTTCGATCTAGTGTACTTAATATAAATGATTTTTATTAATTCGAATTTTCACACTCACTGTATTTTTTTCTACGTTCGTTTTACACATATAAATATAAAGTAACATTTAAAATCAAAAAATAAATAATTTATCGTTGTAATCAACAATTTTATTAATTTGTTTAAAGCATTTTTTTCAAGAACGCGAGCCATTAATTATAAATTACAAACAACATTGAAATAATATACCGGATATGCCGCCATTACATATTATACTAGGATACACTATTATTAAATTAGATATTACTTATATATTTTGCATATTAAATTATATTTATTGTTTTAGATAAATTTTATATATTAATTATAAACATTTTTTATTTTTATTATTTATTTTTATATAATTTATAAGATAATATTATTAAATTATATTATCAGTTAATTAAAAATTGATACTTGTATAATTGCATAGATTTTTATAAACTTATAAGCTTGATATTTTTCTTATAGACTTATATACATTTCGTAAAATATGATTTTATGATACTAATTTACATATTTTTTTTTGTATATTAAAAATATATCAAATTTCAAAATTCAGCTGCCAAATCTTAGAAATTTTAAATAAATATTTTCAAAGTATGCATAATATTTTTACTAATATTTCCTTTTAAAAATATTAAATATATGCATATATATAAATAAAATCATTATTTATTTCTATATAAATATCCAAAAATATATATAATATTTTATTCGAAGAATATATATTATAAATATATTATTATAAATATCGTATTGAAAAAAAAATTTAATTTAAATGTATAATATTTAAATAAGATATTAAAATAAAACAATTTAAAAAACTAAAAAAGATAATGTCTTATAATCAGGGATATTTTTATAAATTAAATATATAAATTTAAATATTTATATTTTATATTCGCGATTTAAGTTAACAAAATCAAATAATTTTCTTATGTTGTTTAGTTATATGAATTTACCGCTAGATGTCGCCGTGAGCGGCGCGAAGCTCGGATCGATCGTATTAGAATGATGTTATTTTTTAGATAGATTTAGGTAAGCAATCGCAGAATACTAAATAAACACATATTATTTTAGTAAAATGGTTATTTATAATCTTTTAATTTTCGTAGACAAATCTAAATTTATTGAAATTTGCGTTATTCATCATTTCTATATAGAATTAGCTGATGTATTCTTTTCTTTTTACCGCGGATACTTTAAATCAACTAACGATCAGCGCGGCGCTTTGACAGCGTTGCCAAGTTTCTATATGCTTCATTTAAGTGTAACCACGCGCTTACGAACACATGATACGCGATATGCATAGTTTGTTTACTGTTCATTGTGATTTAGAAGTACACGTGCTCATATAAGCAATTATTAAAATTGTAGAACTCATTTTATTACGTATCAAAAATTTGTCTCTCTATTTCTTTTGTGTTTTTCGTTACAGTGACGTGTGATTTGTACTACAAACTACAGAAGAACAACTAAATCGACAAACTATTTATTTAAATGGTATTATAAATAAATACGTCAATTGAAATTTTATTTGATTAAAAAAAATACTTTAAAATTATTTCAATATATGACAACCAGTCATTTGAGATTATTTCGAGCTATTAGAATTGCATGTTATGTAAAAAAGCTTTATTAATATCATTTATACCGATTCTCGTTTGTTTCACTGTTCGCTTTAAATTTGCATGCATTGTCATGAAAAATGTAGTTACGAAATAGTCGATAGATGTCAGAATTTTCCGCTCTTTTTATTCGTATTGGAAGCTCTTATATAGTTTTATTTTTCATTTTTTCAAGTATTTACCTAATTTTACAATTATTAAATAATATTGTTAATTGAATCGAAGAAAATATATCGATCAATTATTTTTTTAAAAGAAAGATAATTTTTTAGTTAACGCGCTCCTGAGAATGTCCCCTTAAATGAATATATTTGGCAACGCTGCATGATCATATTCCGAAAGCAGCAGCCATAGCTAGCGCGTGTGTTTTTGTATTTGTATCGCGGTGCACCGTGGGCCGGGCGAAAGCCAAGATGGCGGCAGCCGTGTTTGGCGAATGCGTTTCAAGTATATATTCGGTTTAGATCACATAAATGGCTCGATTTAAACGCACAGTAAGTTCTTACACTGTGATTTCTTAGTTCGCACAATTCACCAGCTATTCAATTGTTATTGAATGATGTCCATTTGACGAGACACGATACATAAGATTCTTTGGGAGGAAAAAAAGTGTCTCGTGCACTGTCATAGTCAGCATCTTCAACTACACAGCAAAGATAATTATTCATCGTCGGTGTCCCATCGAGATATCGTGTTTATCTTGACTCTTCTTTAATCGCAAGGACTTTAAAGGAATCTTCTGTCATGGTGAGCTTTTGTTTACAGTAGTTTCATTGATACGTTTAGAAGAAAGCGCGCTTCTTTCATGCAATGCGTATTTCTTTGTGCATCTCTTAGCACGACTAACCTATAGATGCGATGATTTTGTATCATGAATATATATGGTTCTTCCTAATATAATTTTAAATAACATATGATTCTCCCTCTTCTTGTTTTGTATCCCTCCCGCTTTTTCCTGAAGTTAAACAAATTCATAATCTCGACATCCTTGTTATTTTTTTCATTTTTTTGTTCACTTTTTTTTTAATCAAAATATAAATCACGGTATTATATCGGTATATACGATAGTTTTCGACATTTCTGTTTTTAGATTTAATATATATTTATATTTATGGATAAAAAAGTCAGATAATTATATGATATTTTAAAAATATGAAAAAAACAAAGTATGGATCAAATATAAAAATATATTGAAATATACGCTTGATCCATTGTTTTATTATAATCCGAGGATGCCGATAATGATGATAATAATTTAAATAATGATTTTATTTTTTAAATAATAATAAATTAACACATAGTAATGATATTATGTGCTTTAAAAACATTGAGCAAATTTTTCTTAGTCAACTAAAAGGGATAAGGACGCAATGAATGAAGATAGCAGCAGTGATGAAGATGAAGATCCCGATAACATGGGTGTACCTGGTAAATATTTCATTTTTGAATGAGAAATAATAATTATAAAAAAACAAAAAAAAATATTGTATATATATATATATATATATTAATATAATTTTCATTAGGTGGTGGTAAGATCTTGCCACTGCTACTGGAATTGCAAATATTAAAGATGAGAAGCCTGCAGATGCACCATCTAATGTTATGGCTAAAGGACAAGGAGCATTAAATAGTAAGAACAATTTTAATAATCAGTATATAAAAAAATATATACTTGATCTCATTATATTTTTCGAACAGTGTTAAATCAGAAGTTTGGTAACAAAATCCCTGGTGGATTGGTAACTAAGACAGCAACACCAGGTTATGAAATGGTACGTGTAGGAGGATCACAGGGTACACCACCTGGTTTTGTTAATGCAAACCAATTAGGTCAATTAGGTCAGTTAGCTGCTGCTGGTGGACCGTATTTTCCACCAGGGTTAGCAACTCTTGCAGGTTTCAATCCTGCAGCCTTTTTTCCACCAAGTAAGTAAAATATTTTTTATTAATTCTTTTTAATGATAACATCAAATTAATTTATTTTATTTGCAATAAGAAACAATATATTATGATCAATGTATGTATGAGTTAATTATGCACATACATTATTATTTTGTAACTAAAATGTATTTGTGTAATGAATTTATACATTTATTGTTCCATTATATTATACATAACATTAATAATAGTAATGTGAACGCGATTAATTATTATATTTTAATTATAATTATTTTAATTAATGCTATTGTTATCATAATTATTAAAAAAATTATATTATTTTATATATTTTAGGCATGGATATGAGCTTAATGAGTGGTTTTATGGGTATGCCTGGAATGAATATGGGAGTCAATCCTCTTGTGCAATTATTAAACCAAAATGGTTTACATCCTAATTGGCCAGCTGGGCTATCAGGTATTGTTCATTTTAATTATAAATTATAAATAATTTTTTAATATATTAGAAATTAAAATACATTAATTATATCGTTAATTAATCATTATATCAATTATAATAAATTTAATATTATTAATTACTGTACAATAAAATTATAATATTAATTTGAAATATTATTGTAGGCAAAGGTGTGGCTCAATTATGGATGAATTCTGGAGATCCTGCAAAAATGAATATGCAACCAACTATACCAGAAGAAGAAGAAGTGGATGATGAAGATATGGGTGTTGCGGAAACATATTCTGATTATATGCCAACCAAACGTATGTTATTTAATTTTATTTTTGATATATTATGTGAAATATGTTATATGATGTTATATAATTTTCGAATTAATATAATATTTTATAGTTAAGCTCGGACGAAAACATCCAGATCCCGTCGTGGAAACTGCATCACTATCTAGTGTTGAACCAACAGATGTTTGGTACAAACTTTCGATTCCTGAAGAAACGATACGAACTGGAGCTTTATCTGCGTTGCAACTTGAATCAATAACATATGCATCGCAACAGCACGAACATCTCTTACCAGATAGTACGCGTGCTGGTTTTCTTATCGGTGATGGTGCAGGAGTCGGTAAAGGACGAACTATAGCTGGGATTATATTTGAAAATTATTTGAAAGGAAGAAAACGTGCTATTTGGGTATCAGTCTCAAATGACCTTAAATATGATGCTGAACGTGATTTAAATGATATCGGTGCATCAAAAATTGAGGTACTTATTTAAATTAAAAATATTTTATTGAATTTCATATATATTTATATTATATAAATTATTAATTACTTATAATTTTAATTTTGAATAAATTATACATTATATTTTTAGGTTCATGCTTTAAACAAATTTAAGTACGCAAAAATTTCGTCGGCAGTAAATGGCAACGTAAAGAAAGGAGTAATATTTAGTACATATTCAGCTCTAATTGGAGAGTCTTCTCAAAGTGGTGGAAAGTATAAGAGTCGGTTGAAACAGCTTTTACAATGGTGTGGTGAAGATTTTGATGGATTAATTATTTTTGATGAATGTCATCGGGCTAAAAATTTATGTCCTACTGGAAGTTCGAAACCTACAAAAACAGGTATGTGTATTAAATATATTATTTAAATTAAAAAATAATTAAATAAAATAAATTAAAAAATAAAAATATATACATATATATATTTATATTTAGTATCATATTTAATATATGTCATATTGATGTATTC